TCTTCTCCGCATTCAATTGGCCTGGAAACTTGCTAACGCGTCTCATTTTTTGTTGTCTAGCAAAGTGTCCATTAAAGCTTCAGAACTAGGAAAACAAGGAGAAATAAATGATAACAATCCTGCTGCCCATTGTCTTTTTGGTCTCCCCCGCGCACGTTTGCAAAGTAGCGTAACCGGCTTGAGGCCATCAAATTGAAACGTTGCGGCACGCAGCGCATGAGAATTTGGGCTCCGGCCAATCTTCCCAAATAGCTGAAGTTGTTGTTGCAATAACTGCGATGTGTAAGGCAATTGTTGGCTTCTCTCCAGAACGATCTTGTTTGACACTTTGGATATGAACGAATGGGCGATATTCAATATTTTCCTGAGGCACTTTGCTTGGAAACTGTCCAATCGTCGTTTCTCGGCTTTCATGAACCATGCCGAGCTGAGGGAATACAAGACTTTGCTTATGAGATTTACAGCGGGGCAGGGAAATGTATGCACTTATGCGCAAGTATGTGTTTTATGTTTGTGTCCGGAATAATCCCTCGGTGAACATTTGCGCCTATTCTCCTATGGTGACGATATAGTATACGTATACATATTATTGCGAGAAGTCCTTTGTGATATATTATTTGGGATATTGAGGGCCATATTGAGGTCCAATTTGGGATATCGCCGTTCGAAAAAATTAATGTTAGCCCAAATGTCACCGTATTGTCTTTCTTGTTCGTTTTTGTCTTAGAAAATGTAGAGCAAATTTTTGACCAAACATTTGCGTATAGATATTTTTGGATTTGGTAATATTATTCGGAACGTTGATTGTATTTTCCTATGATTTTTTGTAACAATATGAGATATGCTTAATTTCCAAATGTTCCGACGCAAATTATGACAAAACTCGAATTATTCTATAATTTCACCGACCTCAGATCGCAAAGAGCTCCATGGATACGTGATTGCTGCAAATACAAAACAATGGTAATCATTGCAAAGGCTCTACAACCTATGTTTTCCGAATTCCGCCATTATTTCAGAGTAAATCAACAGTAATGCTTGCATGATTTTACAGAATGCTTACATTCCATCTTTACTGGGGCTCATTTGCATGCATCTTAAGTACTAGTAGTCCATCCCGTAGCGCCGTTTAGTCAGATGCTTTCTGCGGTAAGAAGGCAAATGATAATTACAATGGACGAGACGTTTTTCCTTGAATTCGTTCGAACAAAAAAACGCCATCGGTTGGGGCATGCAAGATCGAAACCGCGATCGGTTGGGTCGACTTTCAATATTCTTTATGCGGGTTATGCTCCCGAGCGGGTGCCTCGATCGGTATCTCCCTCTGATCAATACTCGCAAAATGGCTCCCGAAGGCGTTCTAATTTTTTTCAGAGATCTTCAAAAGAAACTCAAAGAAAAACATCTAAACAACCTATGCAAATCCCCCAAAAACAATAACAATGCACCCGAACGGTCTCAAATAGCCGAAAATGGCCCCCCAAATGGTTGAGATAGCCCAGACTGGCTCAACATGGTTCCGAAAACGTTCCAAACAATGCCGCCGCAATGATGTTCAAAAACGTCCCCCCAAAAAAGAACCCAAGAACCACATCCTTGCTCGTTTTCTTTCCCTAAACATTTCTTCGTTCCTTACCCCAATATCTGAAAAACCAAGGCTTCTGAATAGACTGGTGGGGATACGCGAGCCGTGACAATTCACTTTGTCCGCCCTCACTGTGTGTCCATGTTCTGCTATTCTTGGGCCATTCCCGCCGATAAGAATAGAAATTATTCGTGCACAAAATTAAGGCGCATCGTATTGATGATATCCACGTTCGCGGCCTGGAACCAATTGAGGCGATTACTACGACGCCGTATGGAAAAAAATGGTTTGCTCTACGGAAAACAATTTGTGTTCTGCTTCATGGCCGCGTGTCATACAAAATTAATTCATCATTCCTCGTCTGAAGTACCGTCAAAAACAACACATCCCGCAAACGTCCCAACGGAAACCTGCCAAACAACATGGTCGCAAAACATTGGGAAAACCGTAGCGCATGACACTTTGATATTATATAGATACACGTACATGCATATATGCATACATACATGCATATGTGCGTGTATGTATATATATATATATGCTCACGCCATCCTCAAGGGAATGCTTCAAGACAACATGCGGATGCACGACGGTGCAATTTCTGTCAGGTGATTGCATATACATGTGAAAATCCGGTAGAATGTTGCTCCCGTTGGCCGAATGAAACGCATGTGCCTCCCATGACGATTCGCCGTAATATAAAGGAATGCAGAAAAATGCCGTGCATTCGGAATATTGCGGTCTAGTGTTTTATCGATCGAACACTATATGCATGATGCACAACTCGGTGTTCGGTAACATTAGACGCCTGTACCGATTTGTTTTGATTATACCGGCCACGGCAATAACTATATCTCAAAACGAGCAGATCCAAACTCAACCGATAATTGAGGGACCACCTCAGGTAATTCTTCCATTTTCCGTTGCTGTGTGATGTTCTATTGGATGTATGCCGCCTGCCGCATAGCGAACTGCAGCCCAAGAAAACAGAACTGCAACCCCTGTGGTTTCCCGTTTATGACAAACATGTGGCGTTGTGCATGCCCGTGCGTTGGCATCCGATGTCAAATGCCACGCCAGATAACCTTCGCACCCGAAGTCGGCGAGATAGATAACCCATGCAACGTCGATTCGAAGACAGAATCGAACGCCCCACCAATGCTTAAGCCATTCGCGACGTGGTCAAGCCTGTTTCGCCTGAGATATCCTCGTAACTCTGCGTTCCGGGATGCTACGCGCGAAAAAGTCCGGCGCATGTCGTCTAAGACATCGCAACACCGAGTTCCGAGATGCAACGGGGAAGTTGGTCCAGCTCGTTTCTCCTGAGACAACCTTGCAAGCTCCGAAATGCTGCGCGCGAAATGGTGCGGCGCGTTTCGCTTGAGACATCCTCGCTACTCTGGGCTCCAGCTCCGACCTGCTGCGCGCGACGTGGTCTTGCGCGTTTTCCCTGAGACATCCTCGCAAATCTGAATTCTGTAATGCCGCGCGCGAGGTGGTCCAGCTCGTTTCTCTTGAGACAACCTTGCAAACCGCGCGAGAGGTGGTCTGGCGCGTTTCGTCTCGGCATTTCTGGCCGCCTTGGGGTTCCCTGGGCCGGCCCAGACTGCAAACGCAATCCAAAACAGAGGCTCTTCAACAACTTCAGCGTTCTCACCTAATCGGTCTGCAGATTGCCCTCTACAGCCCCAGAAGCTCCCATGAGCGTCTCAAGACGGCTACGGAACCCAGAGGCAGGTAGGGGAGAGTGGTGCTTTCGACGTGTGTTGCGTGCTTCTGCTGGGTCGTATGTGTGTGTGTGTGTGTGTGTGTGTGTGCGTGTGCGTGTGCGTGTGTGTGTGTGTGTGTGTGTGTGTGTGTGTGTGTGTGTGTGTGTCTGTGTGTCTGTGTGTCGCATGCGCCCGCGGCCAGCTTGAATTTTGTCGTGGTTTTATGGCTCGAGCGCGCGTTTTTCTTCGCGCTACTCGCACCCGCGCGGCGTTTCGTCGTGCTCGTTGCTTGCCAGGCGGCGGCGCTTATCTTGCCTGTGCCTGTTTCGCGCTGCCACTGGCGGGCTGGTCTGGCATCCCCTGGGAGGGCCAATTTTTGACACCACTCACAAGGATCGTGGCCCCTCTTTGACCGATCGCCTCCAAGGTGGCCCCAAGAGGCCCTCCAGGGCTCCCGAGAGGCCTCCAAGAGGGCTCCATGAGCGCCCCAAGAGGCCCCAAGAGGGCTCAAAGAGGCACCCAAGAGGCACCCAAGAGGCCCCCGAGCGGCCTCAGAGAGCCCAAGGTGACCTGCAAGATGGCTCAGATAGCCCAAACTGGCTCAAGATGGCTCCCAAGATGCTTAAAACAGCCCCAATACCGCTCCAAGACGGCTCGAGATGGCCACCGAGCCTCCCAAGCCTCCCTCGCTGTTTGACTATGCGTGTCTCTTCCTCTCGCCCCCCGTCAACTCTCATGAACATCGTTTCTGGACGGGCTGGTGGGGATACGCGAAGAGACTGCTGTCCGCGATTCAACTCCTGGCGTCGAGCTACGCTCCGCGGGATGCTTGGCCTCTGCACTCTGGCTTTGCAGTGCCTCATCTCTTCGCCACATCACGGCGGGGTCGACTACATTCGTTCGCAATTGGCACCTCCATCTGCCGACCGCGCCTGAGGATCCTCTGCGCCGCCGATGTTTTTTTTTTTTTTTTTTTTTTTTTGTTTTGTTAATGTGTGTCGCGTGCTCGGTTCTGCTGCTTTCGACTTACTCCGCCTCGCCGCTGCGCGCGAGACCACGACCGCCAAAAAGAGCGTGTGTGTGTGTGTGCATCTTTGTTCGGGTCATTTGAAGGAACTCTTGGGGGCTAGGACGCGTCCTTCAGGACCTGGGAGTCCACAGGTACTTTCCAGCGGCAGCCTTGTGAACAAACTACTTTGTTGTCGGGAGCCGATAGAACGCCAAAAGTTGGTGCTACCTCCACTTGCAGCAATTTCTATGCTTGTATGCCATGTTTCCTTGACGTGTACGTCAATACGCGTTCGAATAAGCACAAGTGTTTGATATTCGCACGACTGGACACTTCACAAAATTCCTTTCAAGAATCCTGGGTCGACTGCGTGATTGGAAACGTACCTCGACAATGCCAACTCTCTCGTGCCCTCTCCTGCCCCCCTTGGCATTGTGCCCCTCTGACGTGCTCCTCTGCCGATGCATGCTTATGCTGCCAAGTCCCTGCTCATCCGATCTTCGCATGCGCTGGCCACCTTTTGGCATGGGGTGGGCCTTTTCTACTCGCAGTTCAACCGCCCGCAACACACCTTTGATGGAGAGAATCGTCGTAGCTGCTTTCATGCCCTTTGACGACGTAAGCGGTCGTCAACAGCGTGTCCATGAACATCCGGTTCTCGCTTCCGTGCTTGCGCATGCACTGATGGAGCGGCACGTGCTCGCAGTCGTACGCTGCTGGGTCATAGCGGCACCGGAACAGCGCCTCTGGCCTGTAGAGGGCCAGCCCTCCGAAGCACGAGTGCACCGGGACCAAGTCGTAGCTGGCCCACAGCTTCATGCCCTGCTCTTTATCCATGGGGCACTCCCCTGCATTGAACGTGTCGTTCTTCTTTGTTCGGAAAGCGAAGCAATCGAACATGCCGTACGGCACGTCTTCGTTCTCCGTCTTGTAGATGCTGTTGGCGCACACCATGTCCCACTCGTGCCTCGTAGTCTCTCGGCGGCCCAGTAGTGAGAAGAACGACTGTGACGAGATAGCGAACGGCCCATATCTCCGCCAGCCGTCGTCTCCGACCAGTACTCCCCCATCCCTGGCCATCGCTCGGACGTCCATTCCCTGTGTTTTTTTCGGCTTCGTGCGTGGTGTTTTCGCGAAGTGATCAAGGATGTTCCTCGATGGCCCTCGCCGAAGGAAAAATGCACACGTCCGAGCGATGCCAAGATCCTCCTCCACTCCTCCAAGCTCCAGGTGCCGATGTCCACCCGGGGGTCGAGGCTCCAGTATTGGCGGGGGCGGTCTCGAGAAGGAAGACTGGGAGGTGGAGGAGGGCGGCGAGGGGGAGGAGAGGCGAGCGAGCAAACATGCCATGCAAACAGAATCCGGCACGCTCTGGGGGAACGAATGCCATCTGGCATAATTACTCGAAGTGCTTGACCCATATACCGAAATTCGAATCGATTCTCATCACTTGGAAACGTGGGCGACTCAACCAACACATCTTCGCGGTGTCCAGGTATGCTTCCGCACAGCGGCATCGATAAAAATATCGAAGTCGATCATGACGATCAAGTCCCAACCAGAACTCTGGTGCACAAATTCTCCGATCCAATCGAGCAACCTGTTCCGCAACGTAGCCATGCGTTGAAAACGGGCTGGCTCAGTGCCCCTATCGTTGCGCAGCATTGGGTTCTCAGATTTGTACTCGAACTTGGGGTCTCTCTTGTTAGTTACTCGTAGCCAATGCTTCGTTTGGTCCACGGAGTCGTTCTCCAAGATGAAAAAATGATAGTCTTTGAAATGACGGAAAATAATTCGAAGAGCAGTGTAAGCGGGGATAACCGATGCTGCGGCATCGCGAACGAGTCCAGCAAACACGATCTTCGTCTCCGCTGCCAGCTTCCTGGGGCCACATCACGCCAACACTCACATCCACAGATATTTTTGGAATCGGTTGGGCCAACGTGTGGCCCGACTGAGATAAACTGCGTAGTTGCGGGGGAAATGGCTTGTAGGCGATCGGACTTCCTGAAGATATTCGAAGGACCCAACGATAGAAAAAACAAAAAGCGATTCGATCGGAACTGCAGACAATGGGAACGGTCAGGTGGAACGACGACGGGAAACAGGTAATTGCAAGACGTGGGGTTGGGAGGGGAAGGGGGAATCGGGGAGCGGGGGCGGACAGAGGGAGAAACACATTCAGAGCGATGTGAAGACAATGGGGCGATTGAAGAGCCGACAGGTAGAGAGCGGTGTGGCAACCAGAAAGGCGATTGATTGCAAATAAACAGCTACAGCCAATCATATACAGAACAATGCGTGCGCCTGGTGGTGGGGGGGGTCGGGCCCAACGTCAGTTTCGATTCCGGATCTCTACCTCCACAATTGCGCGACTAAATCTGGGACTGAGCGGGTGCACATGCGCATACCGTTGCAAACAGAAATCCCGTGATTTCGAAATGCATCGTGAAACTAATTCGACTGCAGCCGGCGTTTTGTTTTGGGTTTTCATTTTGAAGGCAATTCCCAAGAATCCATCTCTGGTGCAACTATTCTGCTTGTCGAAGCGTTCACGCACCCCGATTCAAATCCACACACCGTCTTTGCCAGGTGCGGCAACGCTGCTCCAGATCACCTGCGAGGCGCATAATTAGGAGATGCTGACAGGGAAGCAACAAGGATGCTCTGCGGGTCGACTGGCCACTGCAGACGAAAATTGCACAAAACGTATAACGCGTCCGCTGTCCGCTGTCGGGCAAGCGACGCTCGTCCCAAATTGTCAACATCCGTGCTGACTGTCCCCTTCCAACTCCCGCGCCTGCTACGCGGGATCCACTTCTGGGCCCCATGCCCACCAGCGAGAAGACGGACTCTGCGTGACCAGCGCCAGAGTTGGAGGTGTTGAGCCTCCAGATGCTCATTGAGAATTTCGGAGTCTCTATGGAGCCGCGTCTCGGCTCGCGTCTTCATCGAACGTGCCAGTGGAAGCCATGGCTGGCTTGCTTTTTCTCTCAACAGACGCCGCTGCCGGGGCGGACTCCAGCCAGCCGGTGCCCACGAGGCGGTACGGGCCCCTTGTGCATGCGCTTGTTCCTCGCGAGCGCGGCTCCTCGCAACCTCAACCCTCGAACCTCGGTTGCCACACATCAGCTCAAATTTAGGTCACCGGACCGCTCCAAGGGTCCATCCTGCCTCTCATCTTCTTCACCTCGAACCGATTTGAGATGGCCCGGGGCCTGAAACGCCCCCGACAACCCCCCAGATGCCGAAGTCGAAGCAAAAACTCCACGGCACACGTTTTTTTTCCAAAGCACCCTGTGGTGTTGGGTCCTCGTTCTGAAGGAACAGAGCCCCGCGTCACCCTACTCCCGCCTTCATCATCAAGATCACCGTCATAATCACCACCATCATGACCAGCGTCGTCGTCGTCGTCATCATCATCACCATCACCATCACCATCATCACCAACACCATCATCATCACCATCAGTATTATCATCAACGCCTTCATCATCATCACGATCATCATCATCATCGACATCATCACCACCATCACCCCCACCATCATCATCATCACCATCATCATCACCATCATCATCATCAACAGCATCATCATACTCACATTCAAAATCATAATCATCAGCATCATCATCATCGACACCATCTTCACATTCATCTTCATCTTCAACAGCATCCTCATGATATCATGTTCATCATCATCATCATCGTAATAGTCATCATCACCACCATCATCATCAGTTCACCATCACCATCAGGACCATCACCACCACCACCACCATCATCATCATCATCACAACCACAACCACCATCATCATCACCAGCATCATCCAAATCATCAACATCCACAGCATCATCATCATCATCATCAGCATCAACATCATCATCATCATCATCATCATCATCATCATCATCATCATCATCATCATCATCATCATCATCATCATTACCATTGAGAGAGCGTGTTCTACCACTGCTGGCGGAAAACCGGTGGGGGTCACTACCGGTTCGAACCCCTCCCCCCCCCCCTCCGGAAAACCGGGGGGGGTCACTACCGGTTCGAACCCCTCCCCCCCCCCCGTTCATCATGAAAAGGGGGGGGGGTCACTACCGGTTCGAACCCCCCCCCCCTCGAAAACCGGGGGGGTCACTGGTTCGAACCCCCCCCCCCTCGAAAACCGAGGGGGGGTGCGGACAGTGGTGGGGACGGTGGTGGTGGGGACAGTGGTGAGGGGACAGCGGGACAGTGGTGGGGACAGTGGGACAGTGGTGGGGACGGTAGTGGTGGGAACAGTGGTGAGGACAATGGTGGGGAATTAAGGACAGTGGGAATGAGGTGGAAACAGTGGGACAGTGGAGGGTACAGTGGTGGTGGGGACAGTGGTGAAGGCGGTGGCGAGGACGGCGGTGGGACAATGGGACAGAGGTACAGTGGGGACAGTGGTGGGGACAGTGGGGTCAGTGGTGGGTGGGAACAGTAGCTCAGTGGGGCGGCGGAGGAGTCACTGTGACAGTGCGGACAGTGGGGATAGTCGGGCAATGGTTGGGGCCGTGGTGGGGAGAGCGGAACCGTGGTGGGAACAGTGGTGGGGGCACTAGTGGGGACAGTAGGGACGGTGGTGGAACCAATAGGGACAGTGGTGGTGAGGACAGTGGCACTGGGAACAACAGTGGGGGATGTGCCTGAAGGCCCTCGGCCTTACGAATTGTTAGCAGCAGTTGTAAGTAAGTTATAAGTAAGTTGCAACTAGGTTGCAAGTAAGTTAGGTGGAAGGTGTGAAATGCGACAAACGTCGCAGGACGGTGTTCATGGTGGTCGACGGCAAGCGTCTGCAGGAGCGAGTGGACGATTGGACTCCCACGTACATCAACAACGCAGCCCGATCCCTTCGTGATCGCTTAGATAACGAGGCACGTGATGAGGCTGAAGCTGATGGGTCGGAAGAGTACTATGACCCGCCAGTCGCAGCAGGCGATGGCTCGCCACCAGGCGATGGCTCGCCACCAGGCGATGGCTCGCCACCAGGCGATGGTTCGCCAGGCGATGGTTCGCCGCCAGGTGATGGTTCGCCAGGCGATGGTTCGCCACCAGGTGATGGGCCGCCCTCTGTTTTCACTCGCCGACGGGAGATGCGCCAGACGACGCTTAGCTTCCAGTAGCTCCACTCCCTCTTCGCCTTCCCACCTCCCCTTCCCTCTCCCTCCAATCTCTATTCTATTTTTGCCTCGCGTGCTCAGTCCGAATCTGGCCCCGCTGGCGGCGGGGACTCAGTAACAGAACTCAGTTCAAGATGCGGAGGGCCATCGTCGCGCATGCCGCTGTTCGGCACATCGGCGTCCCTGCCCATGCTCATGCATCCGTCGTGGTCCGTGTCGTCGAGCAGGCCATGACCGTTCATGTCGCCCTTGCCCTCGTCGGAGCCCTTGCCACCGTCGTAGCCCCCGCCGCTGTCGAGGGCCGTCGCCTTGCCCTTACCACCGTCGTTAATGCTCTTGCCACCGTTGTAGCCCTCGCCATCGTCGTAGCCCTTGCCACCGTCGTAGACCTTGTCACCGTCGGTGCTGCCCTTGCTACCATCGTAGCCCTTGCCACCGTCGTAGTAGCCCATGGCCTCGTCGTCGATGCCCGTGCCACCGTCGTAGCTTGTACAGCCGCGATCGATGCCATCAGCACCCTTGCCATCGTCGTAGCCCTTTTCGTAGCCCTTGTCGTAGCCCTTGTCGTAGCCATTGACGTAGCCCGTGTCGTAGACCGTGTCGTAGCCCTTGCTCGAGCTGCCGTACGGGTCGTAGCCTTTGTCGCTGCCCTTGCCGCCGTCGTAGCCCTTGTCGAAGCCCTTGCTCGAGCTGCCCTTGGCGCTGCCCGTGCCACCGTCGCCCTTGTCGTCGGCCTTGCCGCTGTCCGACATCATGTCCTGCAGCCCGTCACGCTGCTCCTTCGCCAGCCTGATGTGG